GGGTGTGTGATTCCCATTTTAGAAATGAGGAAACCCTTGGAAAGAGGGATTGAAGAACTTGCCAAGGGAATGACAGAACAAGAAAATGAAATCGCTTCTTGGAATCCAAATAGCTCGAACAGCGTGAAGAACCTAAACCCATCCGAATAAAGAACTGAGCGCAGATACGCAGCTGCAAAGGGAACAGCAGTGTCAGCCCTGTCCTCACATGCCCCCTGTGAGTGAAACATGTAGTCTTCACAACAGCCCTCCAGGCAGGTGGCACGATTCTCTGTCCGTACAAGTGACAAAACTGGGGCACAGGGGAATTAACTTGCCCAATGATGGTAGAATGAGGATTCAAACTGAGTCATCTAGCTGCAAAGCCCGTGCATACTGTGTTGCCTCGCGATACATCACGTTTCCCTCCCCTCAACTCATCAGTGAAATCACTGGGAAAATGGGTAAAGGGTAGCATGCAGGTAGCTCTGAAAAGGGAAGGGAGGTTTTTGTACATTAATAGTTTCAGACCATTCACTCACTCAATCACTCATTCATTCATAGCTAACTACTCTCAAGTGTCCTTCTTCTCTCTCACAGGGAAGGGGTCTGCGCTGGGCATTAGAAATAACTACTGTGTTCAACGAGCACCTCACTTAGTCCTCACTACCATCCTGTGAATTAGGTGTTATTATCCCCATTTTATTGATAAGGAAGCTGAAGCTCTGAAAAATTAATCGCCAACGATAAGAAAACCTGTGTGCGACGGTGCCAAGAACTGAGGCCAGGTCTGCCTGAACTCAGTGTCCACCCACTTCCTGATCCACCTAGGGCAGGTGGGGGAGGGCGGTGGGAGGGGAGCCTGGCATTCAGATTCCCTGTGTCCTACTGATCCTTTAATCACTTTGATTTTAGGTGATCAGTGGCGAACGGTTAGCAAGAAGGGGAGCTTACAAAAAACAATTCTGTTGTTTTTAGTTTCATTCTTTATTTGAACATCAAATAGGTTGAGAAAATTGTTTACAAGGTGCTTGAGCATCCCGCTGGATTCTTTACTTTTTCAAGGTGCAAAAGAGGTTTACAAGTGTGTTCCATTAAACAAAGCAAAGCTGCGACAAAACTGAATCACATCAATAATAGTATGCATCAGCGAAAGGGCATACAAATCCATCAAACACAATTTGGCATTTGAGTCTTTTCCCATAAAACAAGAGCTCTACACTGAAGGATGTGTAGTGCACAAAGAGCATTGTTTGTAAGCTGTGAGAGAACATAAACTGGCATAATGTCACTTATTAATTCAAGTCTCTATGACCAATGACCTCTCTGTGAATGCAAAGGGGTCCGTGCCACAGGCACCTGCTTATGGGACGGTACGTTGTTTCCAGGGTGCACAGCTCTGTATACACACACTGAAAATGGGTTTGGAACATGGCAGCATTTACATATTTAGAAAGTTCAGGCACAGTCGGATGCAAAAAACAAAGAATAGAAATTTTTCTTGAATCTCTGAAAGACAGTGCAAAATTGAAGTGCCATAATAAAGGCAGCGATTACTTAGAAAACAATTTTAAATGACTTAAAACGAGGCCACACTTTAATTCAAATGGAAAGGAAATGCACTTAGAAACACAGCATAATCACGCTACTGAAAAGATGGATATCTGGGACCACAGTTCTTTTGCTCCAGTTGAGAGTATGTTTTCGGGGGTTACCTAGGAAGGGTGCAGAGTGATGTGGATCAACCTCCCAAGACCTGCACCAAAAAGAATTAGGGTTGCCTTATGAGCTACTGTATGACTCTATTTGCCTTTCAAATGACTAGTTTTGCCAAGAAGGTCTGCCTGTGAATATTGGACATTACTGTGGTCCTAGTATTCCCAGTATCCACGGTTCATCTCATGGTTGGAAAGTGTGAACAGGAAGGGATTTGTAATTGGTGTCATGCAGGAGAAGGGCTACTCCAAACCAATGGCTTAAATCAATGGCCATTTCAATGTATAAGATTTCAGTGTGAGAAATCTTAATGTGGTCAAAAGTAAATTATCAGTAAGTCCCTTATTTGATCAGCCCCCAAAAGGCATGGGATATGGCATGCTTAAACACGTTTGCAAGGTTACTAGGGGAATCTAATCAAAGAATACACTTCCTTGGGGATTGGATTTTGCAACCTACATGGATAGGGTCTTCTCTTTGGATCACCAAGCCTCTCTTAATTGCTGTATGAGAGCATGACAGAATCCTGACAGCAAGCTAGGCAACGGCTAAAGGAAACACGGACCACTAGCTATGCCTTGGGCTGTACTGCTGATGTTGTTCTTTCTTCCCTTGAACTGAGGCTGCCATTCTAGAGATGGTTGTCAATGGAGCTAGTTATCTGTGGCTTACAGGGCAGAAGTGGAATATTGAACCCTGGTGCACACCCCAGGCACCATAATTAATTTGCCTCAAAATATTTTTAATACTCTTATTACTATATTTCCCAGTCTCCAAATTCCTGAACCCACTACCCCAACCCTACGCTGACCCCCAAGGTAAATCACACCTTTCAAATTTTAAATTGCCTCAGAGTGGGGGAAAAGTGCAGGCAGCAATTCTCCAGTATGTTTCCTACACCCAACAGCAACATCAGCTGGAAAATATTGGCTGTCTGTTAGTGGCACTTTAAGTAAGAATAAAAAAGATTTCCAAAATTGTTTGAGACCGCTGGGCTAACATTTCGACCATCTCATGTTCTCTGCCCATTTCAAATGTAGTAATATCTTAACATGAATACAAATACATTAGATGAAGAATGTAAAATCCTCCACATATTATTGTTTGGATTTAGCTGGTATTACATCATCTATAGTCCTAGAAGTGTGTTGTTTTTTTTTTTGGTTTTGTTTTGTTTTTTTTTAAAAGAAAATCTAAGTATAAACATTAAAAAGAACCCACTGACCCATTAGCTACTGTCCAAAAATATTACTACTGATATTTTGGTAAAAGCAAAATTAGCTGCCCTGAATAATTTAATTTTCCTTTTCAGGCATAATCTTTGCTACATAAGATTGTCTATCATTCAATATCCAACAATAGGCATCTGGATTAGTGCTATTTTGTCTACTGTGGATACAAAAGTTGATATGAAATGTGATCTTCATTTAAATGAATAATCACCAGGCTTTAGGTATCAATGACTGCATACATGACAAGGTAGCTTGAAGAGTATACAAAAAACTAAATATTTTTCCTTGGTTTTTGCATGTTAACCCAAATTAAATCCAGAACAGAATTACTACATTCAATTGTCTGATAAACAAGCAATGCAATTTCCAAAAAATATATATTATACTATATAAGTAAGGTGCTTCTTAAACAAACAACAAAAGAATTATGTTCTTAAACATATTCTTAACACAGATACATAAAATTACCCCCAAATTTAAAGGAACATCTATGAAAAACTTTTTTTTCTTTTTTTTTTTTCTTTTTTTGCCCTCCCAGATTCCCAGTGCTTTGGCAATCACTTAACTGGCTAATCAGAAATTAGTGCAATCTACTCTTCCACACAGGGTACGCCAAGAGTCGCACTAGCAGCTTGCCTGGCCTCTTGGCTAACACATCACCTCTCAAGGGGGTTTGAATTATAAACAGTGAAGTCTCCAGGAGGAAAGTAAACTTTCTTTTTAGTCAAGAAAAGGAAATAATCCATAATTGTGCTAGAGAAACAAAGGCCCGGAGAAGGGTGCCCTGTGGCAGGAGTGAGCCTGTCTGCTACAGCTGCCACCCGGGCTTCTTTCGATCAGGGCCACGTCGGGAAATGACTACCCCATGGATCCCAGGGCAGCCCCCTTAGTGCAGGGCGGGGTCTGCAAAGAGATTCCTAGGTAGCTGCAGCCTGTAACAGGGCCACCCTGAGCAAGGCTGACTGCGCCTCAGAGTTTCATCCAGTTTCTCCCCTACTTCCCTTCTTGTTCTCCAGTAGCCAAGACAATCGTGTACATTCACTGTTTAGCCCAGGCCCCCGGGCTAAAAGTACCAGTGGGGTATCTGCTCACTGAGAATGCCCTAGGTCATCCACTGGGCACCACACCTGAATAGTTCACCTTTTGTGTAAGTCACACACACTGCTGATAAATGTGAGATCCCACCAGAACAGGTCCGGAAGCCGATTTTACTGCAAGTCCTGGGGGAGAGGGCTTTCTTTTATAAAATGAAAATAAAAACAAAAATCAAGAACTTATCCCTTGTATAGGGAGACTGAAATATGTGGAGGTGACTTAACTCAAATCAACTTGTTGTTTTCCATAGGTCCATGGGGAAGCAAGAATTAACTGGAACCCATGACCTGCACGTCGTGCTCTAGAAAGCCAGCGGCAGAGCTTTCAGCAAGCCTGAAGTTGCAGTGTATTAAGTTGAAATAGTCTTGGCAATTGGAGGATCTTCCTTCCCTATGTGCATCTTGTATTCCCACAGGGGAAACGAGTAGACCATCACTAAATACTCTGCTATAGTAGTGCAAAAGCTTTAAGGTATCACTTTGATAAAATGATGCATTACCATAGGAATACAAGAGGATGCTATAAGGAACCCTTGACCTAGCTTTCTCCAAGTCAGCAGTTAAAGGAGCCACTCTAAATTCTTTCCTGTGGCTTATTCTTAGAGCCATTACAAAGTGCTTATCAGAGGTGAAATGTCTACTCTCCAGGCTTGGGTCTCTACAAGTAGCTTCAACGCACAAAGTCATCCGAGCCCCAGCTCATAGACTGAGTTCCGTCATGAGGAGCTATAGGAATCCTCATGCTTAGTAATGTCGCAAGGCGGGGAAGAGAGCTGTTACAAAGATTTAGCCCTGGAATCCCCTTGGCTGTTCCCAACAGAAGACGTGCCACTAAGAACTTAGCAAGCAGACGAATGGCCACTCATATTAGAAAGCCGCTGGTGGTGGGTGCATGCTGGAGTGTGTGCAGGAGACAGAATCTGCTAAAGTGATGCATGACGAGGGTAAAACGCTGCAGGGATTCTCAGAACCTCGGGGGAGCCCGGGAGCTCTCAGGCTGTGGTGGGGAAACTCTCTGCCTCCCCGGTGGTGGTGGTGGCGTAATACTTTTGCAAGGAATGCGATGAAGTGGAGCCCAGGGCTGCCAGCTGGCCCTGGTTTGCCTCCTCCACGGGCGCCCCCCCAGGGCGGCCGGTGGGCGCGTGCAGGCGATGGGCATCCAGCATCTCCAGCAGCAGGTCGTAGAGGGGCACCACGTTCTTGCACTTCATGTTGTACAGATGCTCCATGCCCTTGTTACTGTGGGTGGGAAGACACAGAGAGGACCACTTTAGACCAAGCCCCAGGAAAGCAGAAATTCCTAAGAAGGGGAAGTAAGAGAAACTCCCAAGACACTTGCAAGTCAATCTTTCACCTTGTTTAAAGACCCATTTTAGGATGGTGGCAGGGAACACTGAGGCTTTCAGAGACCCAAGCCTGGGTCTCATCTCTATGTGGTTTTCATTTTCCACTTCCTTCGAGAGCCATCCCATCCTCACAAACACACCCTCCCTCCAGCCACTTTCAGGGTATTTGCTATGCAGGTGACTTCCTTCCCCAGCCTCTAGTGAGCCTTTATTCCCCTCTATTGCCAACGCATCCAAAGAGGGGAACTTGAGGTATGCAGCCAAGCAGGAGTGAGATTTTTAAATGAGTAAAGCAGATCAAGAAGCTCCCCTTGATGCACCTCTCAAGTGAATTCCAATTTAATTCAGAATAAAATCTAAGTTTCTTTCCACACTCTGCAAGGTCCAACTGGTCTGGCTTCCACCCTCCTCTCCAAGCTCTTCCTGCCTCTCTCTCCTACCTGACTCTCTTTCTTCATGCTGAGTTTTGTGCTGCCCTTAAAGGAACTAAGCTCCTCCCAGCCTTAGGGGATCTGCATCTACTTAATACTATTCCCTCTTCCTTGGGTGCATTTCCCCTCCCCCAATCTTCAGATGCCACCTCCACAGAAAAACTTTCCGCTACTCTAAAGGCAACAGCCTCAAGCCCCTGCAGCCTCAGCCTCCCTCTTTCACGCTATTCTGTTTTCCTTATCACACTTATCACAACATGAAATTCTCCTGTGTTTGTGTTTATTCCCCCCATTCCCAAGCACACACATGTACCCGCTCACACACTCACACCTGCACAGGTCCCAGGAGGGGCAGGGATTTGGCCATCCTGCCCTCTGCTATAGGCCTGAAACAGTGCCCAGAACTTGGAAAATGTTCAGAAAACAGGGGCTATAAGGACAAAGGGAGATGTAAGCAGACGGCATTCCTTTCCCTGCTCTCCTCCTCTGTCCTCCCCCAGCCACAACTCTGCTGTCCCCACCACACCACTAGGGGGAGGAAAGAAAGGAACAACTATTATCTAGCTTGAAATGCCTTGTAAAAAAAATATGTATCAAGAGTAGGCAGGACCAAGAGAATGTCCTAGAAAATATATGCACTTTTAGTTGGGGAAAAAATCAGCCCAAGTTGGAGACCTGCCACGAGAACACAGCATCAGAGCTTTTCAGGCTTATGACAAGACCGAAATGGTGTGTTTCTGTGTCATTTTGTTTTATTTCGTGTTTTAAATAAAAATGCCCTTAAAGTTAAATGCCCCCTGGATCTGCCACGGTCTTCCTCATGCAACTTCATGAATCACATTTACAGTCAGATGAAATCTGGTGTTAAATTCTCTGAGTAGCAACATATGGCTGGGGCCAAGCTTAATAAAACAGAGTTCTGTGACTTAGGTTGTCTATAGTGAGGCACCAAAATATTATTGTGTGTGTGTGTGTGTGTGTGAGAGAGAGAGAGAGCGCACAAGAGAGCGTGAGTACTCAAAGCTTTCAGTAGAATAACAACCTCCCTCCGGCTTCTCACACAATTCCAACAGAAACTCTACAGAGCGTTTTCCCTGCTGCTGTCCTCTGCCATACGTTGCCAGTGAAAGCCAGGGAGGTATATTGAGTGCAAATTTACTTGGCATTAACTAATTAGGCTTGCTAATGCTGACAAGCAGTTAATGGATTTGAAAACTCAGCAATTCCTATCCACAGATAAAAACATTCGACTGCAATGTACAGTTTCTACAACATCATTGAAATTCCTAGCTCAGAGTAAAAACTAATATGTTCTCTTCAAGGGTAAGGATACTCTCTCAGCCAGGAAATTTGGCAGAAGATATGTTATTCTGATCCATTCCCTGGTTCCTTCTCTGATATTCTTCAAGAGCAAAAGGCAGGAAAGGCCTGGGAATATTTACTCTGAATGCTGTCGCCTACGCTACCTGGCTAATGTGAGTCCTTCATCTGGTACACAGAGATTCTTGAGGAGTCCTGAGAACACAGATTGCAATTACTTCCTCCCAAACTTCACCAAGTGGAAGCCTTCACATATGAATTTCAAATTCATACAGCAAGGAAAAACCTGCCATGACTCATTTGCCCATATTATTCACTCATTTATTCATTTACTCAGTAATAACGTTGCAAGCACATACTACATGTAAGTCTTCATCTATGGCACTGTGAAGGATACATAAAAAAAAGATACATCTATTTTTTTCAAAAATCTAGCAATTTTTCAAGGTTGCCTCCAGAAAGGGTGGCACCTGGGACTTTGGACAACTTTCTTGCCATTTGAATCATAGTCTCAAGATTTAAAGGGCCCTTAAAATCCAACCTCCTTCAGACATCTTGGTCCTTCCCTCATAGCTGCTGAAAAAAGGAATCTCTTAGGGTCCTTGTGTAAGCCCAAGGTCATGAAGCCATTGTCACCCATGGGGACCTCTAATGTCATCACTTCACACCATTGTATGGCCTTTCTGGAGTCTGCAACAAAGAATCCACCATTCTCTTCATCTCTTCCCTGCAGGAGGAGCTCTACTTAGGAGAATGGTATCCACTGAGCTCTGGCCAGCCAAATTGCAAGACAATGAAATGAAACTGAGGCTGCTTTCACCTTTTGGCAAAGAGAGATTATTTTCCCTGCTGATGTCCTGCCTTGGCCCCTATAGGAAATATTTACTGAGGATTTACTATGTACCCAGCACTGTGCCAGGTGGTATTGGGTACATAGAGTAAGCAAGACATATCGTGATGATTGCCTCACAGAATTTTCCATCTAACAGGGAAGAAAAATAATAAAATGGGCAATTACAATAGGGAGGAATAAGGTGTAAGTTCTGACTAGGTCTTAAGGGCCAGGAGTGATATATAAACAACGACAGGTTCAGAAATATTCACTCCTGCTGCAACGTGTCCATATCTTTGACTTGGGCTTCCTCATGTGACTGGCTTGGCCAATGGAATGTTCGTGGACATGACTTAACCAAAGGATTAAAATGCACTTGTCCAGACGGGCTTGCTTTCTTGTGTCTCTGACATCACTATGAGGACATGTCCCAGCTAATCTGTGGGTATAAGGAGGTTAAGAGATTGGAGACATGTGGGGCAGACTCACCTGGCCAACCTGCAGGGCTATGGCTTGTTCCTCCCCATCTGTGCCCAGCCAAGATCAGCTGCCCCACAGACATGTAAGTGAGCCCAGCTGAGATGAACAGAGCTGCCCGGCCAGTCTGCAGCCTGAAGTAGAGCCTCCCCAGGTGACTCAGAGAACAGCTTATTATGGCTAGAATTCAGGCATGAGGAAGTCCTAGTAAGCTAAGTAGGGTCTGAATCACAAGGAGTAATATGAGCAAAATAAAGGGATTTATACTTTATCTAAAACAATGGGAAGCCATTTAAGGGTTTTAAACAGGGGGATGGCATGATTAGATTTGGTCTTAGAACGATCACTCTGTCTGCATCATGGAGAATGGATTAGAAAGGATCTTGGTTAAAGGCAGGGATCATGTCAGATGGCTGGTGCAGAAATCCAATAGAAAATGATGATGGCATGGACTAGGGTAGTAGCCATGGGGGTGACAGAAGGGGTTCAAGAGGTATGGAGGGGTCATCATTGACTCTCCATGAGGCATCTGGAGTCTCTCATTTAGGATTTCCAAGTATAGATAGGGAAAGTATGACACAGGGACAAAAATGGATGTGCCCAGTGCCTTCGGAGGATGCATATGCTCAGACTTCTCTCAACTGGCAGCCTCCCCAACCACCTGGACACCGCACAATCCCTCCCAAGCCCCCCATCCCCACTCCAAAGCAGAAGCACATGCTTCAAACTAAGCGTTAAGCATCACTTCCTCTCTGCAGCCTGTTCTGCCACTTGCCCCATGCCCCGGGCAGATTTAAAGCCTCTTTCTTCTGTCCTTGCATAGCATTTTATGCTTATTCTGTGCCAGGAACTGTTGCAAGTGTGCTATCCAAATCCAGGCATCAGCCCTTCCATGAGTTTGGGGTGTTCTTTCTGTCCGTCCTGTGGGAAACCCGTGGATGCCTCACCTCATGTGCCTGAAGTTCGAGAGGATGAGGAGGAGCTGGGCCAGGCGCCGGTGCTGCTGCTGCAGGGTCAGGCCTGCTTTGGCCATCAGGTGGATTAAGGTGTCTGTGATCTTGTCCAAGACCCTGTGGATATGGTCCTTCTCTTCCAGAGACTTCAGGGTGCTGGACAGAAATGTGTACACTCCTGAATGTGCAGAGAGAAAGTGAGAGAGAGAAACTCAAGGAGGATGAGGTCTAGGAGACTCAGAGTGTTCATGGGACATAATAATGAGCTATTGCCCTCCCCCAGCACAGAAGGACAGCATTGGGAATGTCCTGGACCCATTTTAAACCAAGCAACTTTGTAAAATTCCTAACAGATGTGCATGTCTGAGAACACCAAGAAACCAATGTGGCCTCCTGCATGTGAGCCAAGATCCCCAGAAAGGGACTCTGAATCTTGGGGCTGCAGTGGTAATGCTGGCCACCCCTTCTAGGACAGGTCCGACACCAACATTAACTGTCCATTTAATGCTGACGACAACCCTGCGAGGACCTTTTTATTGTTCCGTTTCACATCAAGACACTGCAGGGATAGAGATTTGTTAAGCTGCTGGGATAACTTGTAGAGCAGGTAGCAGAGCTTAGACCCAGCTCATTCTGCTCACTCCACACGTGGTAATGACAGTGGACACTCTTTCTCAGAAGACGTGTGACACTTTTGGTGAGATTCATGGAGAGAGTGTTGAGTGAGTGGCTAAGTGATTGGAAGATGATTTTTTCCAGGTAGGATTTAATTTGCTTTTGTGTTTCAGGTCAGGTTTGGGGCCTAAGCACTTTTTTGGCTCAGCTGAAAGGTTTATGACATGGGTGGGTATAGAGGACCTTGGCTAAAGCTGGTTTTCTCTGCCAGCAAGGCTTCCTCTCTTGCCTTTCTCCTGGTTATAGATCCTGCTCTCTGGGCCACAGGTAGACTCAGGACCAAAGCTGAGACCATCAGGTACTCTACTCTTGTGGACAGCATCAGTCTCAAGCTAGACAATCAGGTCCTTTTTCTGGGATTATATATGAGGTTGTGAAACAGATATTCTTTCCTTTAGGGTTGCTAAACTAGGAGGATGAGAATATGGGGCTCTGAACAGCTCCCTTCCCAGCACATGGAGCTCTAGTCTTCAGAAAGGAGCCCAGAGACAGCAAGCAGAGGTGGCAGTGTGGGGGGTGGGAGGGGACGAGAGAGTGAGTGTGAAAGAGCAGGAGAGAGATCTGACAGGGATCCCGATTCTAGTCACAAGGTCCTAGTTCTTACATGTTTTTTATTTGACCTTTGAGCTTTCATAGTATTCTTCCTAACACATGAATCAACACATTCTCTCTTCGCCTAAGATAGCGTGAGTTGGGTTTCTGTCACTTGTAACTGAAAGAATCCTATGACAGTAAGTTGTGAGCTCAGCCAAGGACAGGAGGAAGGTGAGGGATGATGAGGTGAGAAGTATCGAGAACAAGAGGCAGGCTGAGTGGAGCAGGCTCTTCTTGGGACCGCAAGAGTGGATTTTCTAACACTCCAGAAGTAAGCTCCATCCTGCCCAGTCACACTACTTACCGAGAGCAGATGGCATAGTATTCTTCCCCAGATTGTGTGTTTTAGCAATAGTTCTTTGGTCTTACCTCTATTTCGCCCACTGACCATCCCATAAACATACTTCTCCTCCCTTCCCCTATCCTCATCAGCACCTTTAAGTCAAAGGCTCCCAAGTTTATAAATTCTTGACTTTATACTAGTAATATGTCAACGAGTTACTGCTCATGCAGTGGCCTGAAGGTTGGGAACGGGGACAGAGGAATTCATAAATACTAGGTCATTAAATATGAAAAGTCTGATTTCATTAAGGACTAAGTTTGACAGTTGATATCTCTGGCATTTCACTTTAACACTTCTTGTTTTATTTTTATTGTGAAGGTACATCCTCAGTCTTTCAAATACACATTTTGGCTTGTGATTATCTTTCAAATATTTGTTTAGAACAATTTTTGTGAAACCATGCATAAGTCAAAAACTCGTGTTATTTTCAAATATGAGTTCTCTCATGGAACCAATGCAGCACAGACAACTCAAAATAACAACAAAGTGTTTGGGAAGGATGTGGCTAATGAATGCACAGTACATCGATAGTTTGAGAAGTTCCATTCTGGTGACTGTATTCTCAAAAATGAGCCATATGGGTGACCTGAGACCAATGTGTATAATGACGAGCTGAAAGCTGTAGTGGAAGGGAATCCGAATGAACCTAGGCGTGAAACGGCAGCAAGGTTTTTTGTTACTATTCCAACAATATCGAACCATTTGAAACAAACAGCAAGGTAAAGAAGCTGGATAGATGGGTTCTGCATGAATTAAATGAGAGTCAGAAGAGAAATCGTCTGGAAGCTTGCCCTTCTTTGCTGTCATGACATAAAGGTGAACCATTTCTATATCGTATCATTATGTGTGATGAAAAATGGATTCTTTTTGGCAACTGTAAGCATTCAGCACAATGGTTGGATAAAGATGAGGGGCCAAAACACAGTCTAAAACTGAATATTCATCAAAAAAAGCTAATGGTGTCTGTTTGGTGGTCCAGCGCTGGTTATCCACTGCAGCTTCATGAAACGTGGTCAATAGACCACAGTGGATATCTACTGCAATCAATTTGACGAAATGATGAGGATGCTTGTGATTAAGCAGCCTAGACTGGTCACTAGAGACAGGTCAATCCTCTTGCAAGCCAATGCCAGACCACATATCACACAAATAATGCTGCTCACACTACAGAGACTGGACTTGGAAACTCTCTGTCATCCACTATATTCACCAGATCTTGCACCGACTACCACTTCTTCCAGGCTTTGGATCACTTTTTGCAAGGAAAAATATTCAATTCTCAACAAGCTGTGGAAAATGCCTTTCGTAATTTCATCACCACTTGTTCTCCAGGCTTCTTCGATGCTGGCATAAACAAGCTACTGTTAAGATGGCAAAACTGTGCCAATAGTTTAGGTGCAAACTTTGATTACTTGTACTGCTTCTTGTTTGAGATATAATAAACTACACTTCTGATTTGAAATCGGACATCTCATATTTAATGACCTACTATAAATATAAATAGAGTTATAATTGCCCAGAATGGAAAATGGCTAAGATTTAAAATAAACGAGACAACACTAACAGAACCAGAATGGCCAGGATCATGGCTTCCATGCAGTTGTGTAGAACAATGTCACTTTTAGTACCCTGAGGCACTTTGATCCAAAGCAAACAGAGCACAGAATGAGTAAGCAGCAGCCAGGCAGTGGGATAAGAAAGAAATTGCTGAATTACTTCACTTATGTTCTGTGTGGGCCATTGATAGGGAAAGAATGTGTCCATCGGAAAAATGGGCAAATGTCCCATGGCCACAGGTTGGCCTGGAGGTAGCGGACAGCAGGAAGGTGTGTACTGGTGGGTTAGGGTTAGGGGTGGCCTCGGCTGAGCTCCCCATTGGCTCTGCCTCTCACGGTCCTCTGTGTCATCATACACATTCTTGCCCCACACCTCCTCAAGGCCCTGTCTCTGGCTGGATATCCTGGGAAGCCACCCAGGCCACAGAGCTGGATGATGCAACTTAGATGATGCACTTTCCACCAACTTCCTTTTTTGTTACCACCCAGGATGCTGGCCTCATTCCCCAATAATCCCTTTCTTGTTTAAGGAAACCACAGTATGGAGGCTCAAACAGCTTGGCTGTTGCTGCCCAGGGAGGTGACACTTGTGCATCGTTTCTCTTCTTACGGTGTGCACAGTGTTAAAGCACACTGTGCTAGAACTTCAGCAGTCCTGAGGGCACGCATTTCGTGCCAAGGGAGGTCACAGACTTGGCACCCACACGCAGGAGAGTAAAGTTTTTTGGGGGGCTGCCGATTCTTCATCCTCCTGAACGTGCACGCACGTGTGGGTTCCTTCACCCAGCATGCATGTACTGAGAACCTAGCGTGTGCATGACTATGTTATGTGTTAGAGATTCCAAGCCTTACTTCCTTTCAAGTGTTAATGTTTTAAGAACAGATATTGCCTGTGGAGAATTTTCTTAACACGGACTCTCAGGATGCAGGCCATTCTCAAAACAAGCCTGTTTTTCTCGTCCTGTTTTGGCACCAATACAGCTTATCATCTCATCTTTGTCAGCAGATGCTTCCTAGCTGTGTGCATATACTTAGAAATAAAAATAGGGTCCTGTGGAAATGCCAATAATTGACAACAGCAGCCATCTTCCTTTTGGACTTTTCTGGCAAAATGAGGTCCGTGTTTGCTGCCCGTTGCCCCTAAGGGGCCATTGGAGAGAAACTGCAGAAACCCCAATTCCCAGAATATTGCATGTGCTCTGGCAACCTCTGGTAATGAGCAAGTGCAAAACAGGGCTGCTGGCCATTTCCATGTCCCGGGTAGTCTCTGCCACCCTGGATGGCCACACCGTGATTCCCAGCAGCACAGGGCCAGTGAGTAGAGAGTGAGGGCCTTTAGAAATATCCCTGCAGCAAGGCAGGTTTTTGCAACTCTGGAGGTTGCTCCAAATCCCAAAGTTGGGAGGAGAAAAGCAATCTTCATGTCATTATCCAATCTTGAAGTGTTGTTGGCAAATGCGAGCTTCGATGAATTCTGAATCTTGCAGCCAACATGGGGAGATCCAGGAAGAGTCTATGGGGAAATCTAGTGGTCAGAAGGAATGGAGAGCAAAACCACATGGACGCCCCCACGGACATGAGATCTTGACCCAATCTCTCTTGCTTTCTTGCTCTCCCTCACCTTCTGTCATTCTGCCAGGGCATGCTCCCTTCCTCTTCCTTTTCCATCTCTGTGATCTGCACCACACAGGAATCCCCTCTCCATTCCTTAGCGCTTTTCCAGATAATGGAGCCTTCTGGAAGCTGGAGGAGGTGGGCGTGGACACTGCGGGGCATGTGCATGTGTGACTTCCCAGAAAGAAGCCCTAGCACATCCAGGGGTCCTGACGTGCCCTGCCATTGACCTCCACGGGGGCAGGGGGCCAACTAACTAAAGAAATGAGAAATGCTCAGGCTCGTGGCTTACTGGATGCTTGAGGACAAACTCTTCAAGTAAGGCCACGTTTTTTCTCTTTTCCCAGAGGAAGAGTGTAACAACAAACCCTGAGAGAATCCTTCAGTCTAGGGCGG